AGAGAGAGAGAGAGAGAGAGAGATAGATAGATAGATAGATAGATAGATAGATAGATAGATAGATAGATAGATAGATAGATAGATAGATAGATAGAGATATATAATTCTGAGGATTATTTTTAATTTCTCTGACCTGTTATTGGCACAGAAAGAGTTAAAACTCCTCAGAGGATCGTAAAAGGATGATAAGTACAAAAATATAGTACAATGCAATGTTTAATTTAAAGGAATTTCGCATATCAAATTCATTACAGATGTTAAATTTTTCACAGTAAAGGTCAAAGGCTGGATAAAAGTTACCTCCACAACTAAAAAAACATAATTTCCATCTTACAAATATTAGAATAATGTAGTGTATCAACCACAGTTTGTATTTACGGAGTATTGTGGTTTTAAATAACTGACTGCTGTAAATCTTGTTTGTTCACTGTGGATGTAAGAGCCCAACAAAGGATACATGTTCACAGCTATGAACTCTATGTGCAGCACATCAGTATTAAAACCACGTTAAACATGAATTGCCCCGTTTAAATAAATAAATACAAATAAAAAATACATTTTTACAGATTTTACGTACTTTTTAAACACACATCAAATTTTAACACAAAAAAGTAGAATTTACTGGCATTTTCTGTTTCTTTTACAGTGTGGGTTGTAGAAAGTGCTCTGATAGGTCAAATTTAAATTTGGGAATGGCTGCCCTACACTAACTGAAGCAGAATAAATTAAAATGAAAGCATCAAGCATTTTTGCATGTCTGCGTTTCTTTTACCTGGCAGGTGACCGGTTGGCTGACTCTACCATCACACTCGCATTGGCCCTCGACTTCCTCTGTCACGTGAGCACGCCCCTTCCTTCACATCCAATCCCAACATGGAGCCCATTAAGGTCCAATCAGAAGGTGGACTGAATGTGACCCTCACCATCAGGCTGCTGATGCACGGCAAGGTACAAACACACGAATTCAAACTTGTCTTTTCTTGTTCTGCTTCTGCTTCCAATTATCTGTAAAAAGAGCAAAGAAAACAAAGACTAATTTCAAGGAGCCCATGGCATCTAACATTTCTTTCTGTTGTTTCTGCAGGAGGTTGGAAGCATCATAGGAAAGGTATTTATCACAAGCACAACAAGCAGAGCATGTAAAGCATGATAACGCCGGTGGGAAATGCACAAAACATCTCACTGCTCTTTCTCCCCTTTGCTTTCAGAAAGGAGAGACAGTCAAGAAGATGCGTGAAGACGTAAGAAGAATTTTTCTCAAACTCTTGTTAATTATTTTTGTCCTATAATCACGTATTTAATGCTTTTTTGCTCTCTCTTTCGCTCTAAAGAGCGGCGCCCGTATCAACATCTCAGAGGGGAACTGCCCTGAACGGATAGTCACCATCACCGGGCCAACAGATGCCATTTTCAAGGCCTTTGCCATGATAGCCTACAAGTTTGAAGAGGTACCGTTCATTATTTTACACCACAAAGAATCTGTTTTTAAAACAACAATAAACTTGGTATTATTTAAGCACTGATTTCAAATCAAATTTGAACCATTTTCCTCTATAAGATTTTTTTAAAATGGCACATTTTAAAAGAAAAATTTGCAAATGTAGCAACATTTTTACTTTAACATCTTAGTGGTTGCATTCAAGAATCCTACAACTGTATGTAAAGTAATGGCATAAAGGCTCTATGTGGATCTGAGTGCGACCGTACTTATGAGAGAATCCAGCACCACAGGCCGGCTTTAGCACCTGCACTGACTCATTTCCAGGTGGAATACAAAGCAGCTTTGGCCCTGATATGTAGGACAGAAATGTGCTGATCTAACCTTGCAACACCCTCTGAAAATGGGCCAGTGCTGTGTTTTGATTTGGGTGCCATATCAGCATACTTTCAGCCCGACCGAGCCAAGTGTCTCCATAATACAATAGATAGACTCAACCACTTATTATTCAGGCGCTGCACACAAGTGCAGCTTTAAGTAAGTGTGGAGATTTCAGGGTCAGCTGTCATACTACGACGCAAACACAAGTCACTTGATTTTGTTTAACTCTGCAACTCAGCTACACTCATATATTAGTGTAGTCAAGGTGTTATCGATTATGCCTGAATTCACTTTATAGTAAGTGTGAAGGTACCCACATGCAACGCTTACCAAATTATTAGAACCCCACCCCATGTAAGGTTTATGTCCCTGTAAGGGTTAATTCACCAGCATGTGCAGGCTCTTTAATTTAAATTATAGTTTTAATGCTAAAAATAAGAATTTTCATCCATCTTAATCAATTATCCATGAATGGAGTCCATTTACAAAAAAAGGTGAAAAAAAGGCAAAGCACATTTTTAAAAAAAATATTACAGTCTTTGCTCAATAATGATACGTTTAGTTTTAAACGCGTTTTTGACAGATTTCTGAAATATTTATCTTTTTCTCCTTTAATGACAGGTGGTAGTAATCACTGTACTTTGTACTTTTACAACCCCCATTAAAATAAATGTTGTGTTTGCTCTGTGTACTGTAGGTGAACAGGGACTACAGAATGTTAATCATTTAAATGCTCTATTTAAGTGAAAATATTTCACGGACTGCATATTAAATTGGCAAACTGAGAAGCTTTTTATTTTTTATTTTTTAGGAATCATGGATGTCACGCTCTCTAGATAAGAAGATCTGTATTGTTATCAATGATAAGTTTAAAAGCCAGAATCTGTGATGCTAATTGAGTGTTGTGCCTGCAACAATGCAATTTATATGCATTTATACAGGGCTTTACTCTAAGCACTATTATGCAGAACTTTGTTCACAGCTAGCTTGTGGGAAATACATGTAGGCACAGGAAGATCATCTACTCCACACAGAAAGGCTCCAGCCAGGTGAGGCTTGAAAGTGCTGCCAGCGGACGTGGTATTAGCATGCAGCACATCTGTGAAGGCCCCATTAATGCTAAACAAAGCACACAGGTTTTAGAGCAACGCTGCCAGCCAGACAAAGTGTTTTTCACCGACGTTGTTGCTTATTTCAGCAAGACTATGCAAAACAACCATCACATATCCCAGCAGCAGATCTTCATAGAACTTTTCAAAGTTGCAGAAATTTGACTTCTCAATGCCAAAACACTTGAAGTCTGGTACAGTGGTCCCTCGCTATAACCGGGTTCACTTTTCGTGGTCTTGCTGTTTCGTGGATTTTTTTGTGCAATTTTCCATGTTTTGTTTTTGTTTTTGTTTTTTTACGGCACATTGTGTTCTGCGTTCTGATTGGCTGTAGACCATTGTGCAGTGTCTCCTGTACAGTACAGAATGCATTCGGCTTGTCAAATTTACATAAATCTTCTATCGCTAGCAGTGTGAGTCTGAAGTGCTGTACTGTATGTTTGTAAGTTTTCTCCCCAACAAACACAACAATGTCGACGAAACGTTTTGCACCGTCAAAGGAAGCCACGGGTGCTTTGGTTTCATTCTATATTACTGGACTTATTTTTCTACGAAGGTTTGAACTTTGAGAGTGTGTAAACAAAAGAGAAAAGTGTGAAAATGTTCATGCCTGTCTGAGAAAAGTGTATAAAGCTTGTAGTGAGGGGTTTTACAGCCTTAAAACGTCTATAATAATTGTAAGAAATAAAGTTGGCGACTTCGCGGATTTCACCTATCGCAGGTTATTTTTGGAACGTAACTCCCGCAATAAACGAGGGACCACTGCATCATTAAAAGCCCCTACCTTCACCATTTCACCTTTTTTTCTCCTCAAAAGAAGTCATATGCACATGATTTGGACATGCATTTGCCCATTAAACTTGTAAAAATCCTGCAACCACAGCTGTCTCTGCCACAAGGGCATAATGGTGCATGTGATTATGCTATTACATAATAAACCCGGGTAATACACGAGATCATGAGGGCAGAAATAAAACAATCGAGACTTCCATGTGTGGCAATCATGCATTTACATGGTTCTATGATAAACTCTTTTTCAGTTTCCTTTACTTGATAAACAACTTGGAGTTATTTTTAGCTAAATGCAAAGGACGAGCTTTCTCTTGCAATAACTAGACTTAATTATATTTCTTGAAATAGGATTTTTGGACAGTGTATCAGGATTTTATGCTTCAGTGGCACTGATTTATTTAAGTAAACTCTCTTACGGCTCTGGCAGCCAAATTTGCCTTTTTACACTGTCATCTCAACAGGATACCTTCTGTTAGTGCTTCATTATTAAATAGGATCATATTAATAATACTGCTTTGGTCAGTTTCTACTGCTGTACACTGGCTGTACAGTACCTTATAAAATAGGATTAGGTGGAAAATATTATAATTATAGCCAACAGATAAAATGGTGAATTTTAAAGTAGCATCATACTGAAATACAGAGGCTGTAACCCTGTTTATTAGAACAATATTAATAAAAGCAGCAACTTAAAAGTATGAAGAGATGTTATTGCCAAAAAGTAAACATCATTCCAGCTTTTTAAAGGTCATTTTGTGCCGAAGCAAAGAGTTTTCTCAAAGCGCTGTTGGTGAGTTAAGAACCATGAAGGTAGATTTATTACAAAGCCTCCACTTCACAGACAGAAAAACACTATGAAAGTCATCGCATCTGACAAAATGTGGCCTTTCCTCGCCCGCAGGATATTATCAACTCCATGAGCAACAGCCCAGCCACCAGCAAACCCCCCGTAACCCTGAGGCTCGTCGTCCCAGCCAGCCAGTGTGGATCCCTCATCGGCAAAGGAGGCTCCAAAATCAAAGAAATGAGAGAGGTGGCGGCACATTTTTCATCCTAACGATGTCCATAAACATAAAATCAATCATGTTTTTTAAAATAATGACACTGCCAGAGGATATGCTTATATTTATCCCTCATATAGCTCCCATGTAAGCTTCCCAAATCCCACATTTCTGGTTCACGTAGTTTCCATTTAAGTGTTCAGTCTTGCAAAATACCCGGTGTGCACTGCTCCAAGAGCTCATTTTGCTCTCCCATATCGGTTTCTGCTCAGTTTGAAGGGATGCAGGCTCATGTAATGAGATGATATTAATTTTTAAAAAAATATTTCTTTCTTGCCTCCAGTCCACAGGAGCTCAGGTCCAGGTGGCAGGAGACATGCTCCCCAACTCCACTGAGAGAGCGGTGACAATCTCAGGGGCCCCCGAGGCCATCATCCAGTGTGTCAAACAGATATGTGTGGTGTTGCTCGAGGTACGGTGAGGGGGTGGGGTGGCCACACAGGGGACATGAAAGAAATGTTATGTAGCTGAAAATTAGTTTGATACGGAGAATTCAGAGGCTTGACTACACTTTTTAAAGTAATTTACTCCTAGAGTTTCTGCTGTATCCAAAGATTTGTTTCTAAATGTAATTTTTCACATTTAATGTATCCGCATGTTTTGATATTGTTTATGTTTGCAAGTCTGGATTATTAACATTACTGCACTGCTGCAGACACATTTCTTTGCCTTTTAGATGGCAAATGCGACACCAAGTACTCAGTACATGACGCCAGAGACGTGCAAATGTCCTGCACTGACTTAATGTTTGCACAGTCGGGAGGAAAGCAGGTTTCCATAGGTCGAAAACAGCAGCCTTAAGACCTCGTGTGTGGACTTTTGGGTGATTTTTGTTTACAGATAACGAACTGACACATCTGTAAATAGGTTCAGGCCATAAGCTGTACATAAAAGATGTACACAGTCATCATAAAGAAACTCTTTGTTTTTGTGAACTCCTATTCTGAAGCCTCAAATTTGGGGTGTAGTGCCAATTTGTGAACTAATGCTAATTAGCTGGGTTATTACAGTTCATACAAAGACCGGGGACTTAAATATGGATAGCTTTAAATAAATGCTAACTTGAGGATAAAACACTAAAATTTCACTCAGGAAAAACTGAAGTACAGACTTCCTCCAAACCAGAAAATAAACCACACAGCAATCTAGTAATACCACAGTCACAATGGAAAGATTTACTTCACTTGAATTGTATGGTAAAGCCGACAGTGAAGAAACCTTATAGAGCTCAACAGTGAGCTTCCAAAAATCCCATTCCCATTCATATTGTTCATAGGGATTTCGATTATTACCATAATGCTGTGAGTCAACTTACTACAACCTGCGACACTGTGAAACGATGATAATCTCTCCTTTAGAAACCATAACTCTGCATTACACCTATAGTCCATAAATACAGGATTTTTAAGGCCAATACCAGTAGTGATATTGATACCAGTACCAATGCCAATACTGTATTTGGTAGAAACCCAGTATATTGGACAATAAATTTTCTTTCACAGATATGAAACTCAAACAGAGTTACGAAGTAGTTGTTATGTGTCGTTATTTATGAATCCTTACTGAGATAATATGACGGTATAGTTCAAAAGTTACCATGCGTCATTGTCACAACAAGTCATGAATTATGCTTGGTCTGATTCTGCTCGTCAGCTGGTTGATCTCTTTGTGGCGTTCCAAACATGTGTTGCCAAGAGGGAAGTTGTGGAGTGCCCTCTGGTGGACAAACTATGCAACAGCAACACTCATAACAGAGCTGAAGGGTGTTTCTCCCATCTGTTCTGTATAGGCCTTTAGATATGCCAGTACTGACATATGAGATCAACTTTGTTTTAGCAAAAACACAGTTTAGTCGTAACTTTGGGGGGAAAGAATACTCTTCCGCTTTCCTAAACTGAAACAGCAATTTCTCTGTTTTGTGAAAGTCACTGTTTAAACCTACGAACATCAGGTCGGTTAGTGAGTGTAAAACTTGCGGTGACTGCAGCCAAGAACTAAGCACCATCAAAAACAATACTACAACCTTACAAACTCTGAAAGCTATGACAATGAAAAGGAGGAGATTTAAACAGGCTGGAAGCCAATCCCATTTCTAGTGCATTATGGGATAAGTTGTTTCCTAACCCTAAAAAGTAATTATGTACATAGTCTTGTACCTCTGTCTATTTTTATTATTATTATTTTCCTGGGTTTTTTTTTTATCCAAATCTAATTTTCTAATGGTCAGCATGGCTTTACAGTGGTCATGGCTTAGATCAAGGCTTAAAAGTCTTTATGTAAGGATCTTATGAAACATTAACAGAGAAAGTTCACTCCTGGAACCGGACTTCTTAAAAAAGTGGGCAGTCACTGCTGAGCTCAATCTATCACTATCTCACATTTACCCCTTATTACAAGTCAAGTGTTAAAATCCCAGCCAACCTCAGTTTTAGAGTCAGCCTAAAGATATTACAATTACAGATTAAATTTTTATAGCCATGGAGTGTAGTTTATTAAATCCAAGATTAAACTCAGGATTGTGTTTAAGCTAGTTTGGATCACTGAAAGCTTTAACTTATGATATTTATATCATCTTCTAATGAAGGTGGATGTTGGTGCAAACTTTCACAGCAATCTGTCTCATAGTTGCTGAGATAATTAAGTGTTGGACTTACCTGTGAACAGCATAAATAGCATTAACCCTTTCACGCACAGTGGTCACTACAGTGGACAGCTATTCAAAGACTGTTTTCTTGTATTTGTGTCAGTGTGTACTTACACATTAACCACTACACTGGACACTGATGTGTCATCCTGATTGAGGTTGTCATAATTCATGCATGACAGGGTTAAAGCCTGATGTATCAGTAAGAAAAATTCACCCAAAAGATCAAAGCAGGAGGCATATATTTGATGTTTTTGACAAAAGTATTGTTACCTTCTTGTAATTCTGTGTCGAAAATGGAAAAAAAAATGCTTTGGATCAAAGGGCTACACGGTATTTAGGTGTCTCTCTTTTTCTTGCACCATTAATTTGAACTATCTGCACAGCCAGTTCTCCATTGGGCCTTCATGATGGCACCAGCCATGGATACTAGGACATTTGTGACATGACTGTAAGTCTCTAGACTTAAGAAAAACAAAAGTTAAATAACAATATGTTGAGTCATCATTATCCAGTTGAAAGTGGTGTTCCAGGTAAATCCAAGTTTAGTTGTGCACTGAACCACGATTTGGACATGTAATGTCAGCATGAACGCACAGTGAAGAGCACTTTTTGTGTGGGTGTCCACAGGTTGTCTTCCCTAAGGCACTCTCCCTTCTGGTCTCACTTTATGCAACTTCTTTCTTTCTCTCTCTCTATTATTTTCTGTCTTCCCGTTCTAACACTCTCTCCACATCCCGCCCCTTCTTCTTCTTCCCCCCACTCTCTCCTCCTTTGCTCTCCTCAGTCCCCACCGAAAGGTGCCACCATCCCCTACCGCCCCAAGCCTGCCTCCACCCCTGTCATTTTTTCAGGTGGCCAGGTAAGAGCAGACCCACTGGGGGCGTCCACAGCCAACCTCAGCCTCTTACTGCAGCACCAGCCACTGCCTGTTAGTGTCGCACCAGGTTTTACTCACTTTTCCTCCCTTCCTCACTCCCCTCACCCACCCAAATCCCAACTAGCATGAAACCCTCACTGCTTTTATTTGTTTTTAAACTGTCATCCATCACCCCCAGCCACTCGAACCAGAACTGAGATCAATTGCGTTCAGCTCATCTGAGTCAGAGGATCCATCAGGTGACTTACCTTTTATTTAGTGAAAACGGATGCTGGTGCTACTAGATGAAAATACTCTGCTTAAAAGTCTAAAAGAAAATCAGGAAAAACAAATGTTAAGCTTGATGAAGCTTGGGGAAATTAAACTTTACTCTAAAACCTAAAACAGTAACCAAGTGACCAAGACAGGAAAAATCCTCTAGAGTAGATACTCTTGGAAACACAGCTTTTTCTTAGTTTGGAACCAAAAGCAGTAAAAATACACAAATATACTTCTGTAATTCTTCTTCAGCCATAAACAGACATAGGGAGTAAAGGAGCTCATAGCAACAGAGCCAGCCACAATGGGGAGGCTCACAGGAGCAAGGTGTGTTACTATATAAGGTGGTCTGCAGGGGAAGGGAAACTCAGTGGCAGCAGCTAGTGGATAGGAGTAGTATGGCAGGACAACAAATGAAGCAGCAGCTTATATTAATTATATTTTATTCATTTCAAAGTACAATTTTTTATTTTTGGACTCTAATAGAGCAGCTTTGTATGATTCACAGTTAAAAATAATCCCAGTTTATCTTATACTGAGACACGTGCAGCTCCTTTCCTTTTATGGAAATCCATTGGTCAAGCAAGCTATCTTGTGATTGGCCACTCCTCATTAAAAACAGTAGGGTGGGGCTTCTCTGCTCAGAGGCGGCTAATGGAAAGCAAGTTTTTTTGTTTTTAGAGTAATCCAAAAACTGCTTTTGAGCTGTAGGTTTTGGCTACAAGTGAGGTGTGTCTGGCTCACTTGTAGAGTGCTAAACACATTTTTAGATCATCTATAACAAAAGGAAGAAAACACCAATATTTTAGAAATCTGTCTGTTTAAAGCAAAAAAAATTATATTGATATTTGTTAATAGTATTATTATTATTAAGACACACGCGCACAAACACAGGTCTTGCTTTTCTTTACTTTAGCTCCAATTAACTAGAGCTTATTTTTTACTATAGGCTATGTTCCCCTCAGCTTTGCTGATCAGTAGGTTGGAGGCTTTCTATCCTCTGCTATAACAGGACAATGGTGAAAACACCCAGCAAATGGCCTGGGGCAGATTCACACCTGTGCCTCTGCAACAGCCTTAGGTATATGAATCACTTGAGAAACACTGTGAGTTAAACTGGCACCCCTGCTTGGTGGTTACATCAATTATAAAACAGGGCGAAATTGTGAAGGAAAAATCTTCAGAGTCATCTAAATTAATAAATATTCACATCCAAAAAGCTTGAATTTGTGGAAACTTGGCTATATTTATATTCAGCTGTGCAAATTACTGCTGGTTGACAAGTCTATGAATAAAAAAACTGCTTCAGCTCTATGTTATTCAGGTCAGGTTTGACTCAAAAGATTCAATACTTCCCTTTAATTACCTTTAAGAGTGGAAAAACTTAATACAGGAACCCATAACAGGAGTCCGGAGGCAGATTTTTAATTAAAATATTCAGTTATTCAAATAGTTGCAGGCAAAGTTCTTGTGGATTGACTAACTGATTAATCACTTTAACTACATTCCTGTATAGCATCTATAATTTGTTTGTTTGTTTTTAGATTTTAGTGGTTGATGTCAGACTATTGAGAAAGGCAGTAAAATATCTAAAGCAGAAGCCACAGACTTGGTGTGTTTTTATTCTTATATTAAAAATCAGGTTTGTATCTTGTGGGATAAAATTCAATTTTGCTCAGTTCTGACCTCTGTGGCTCCTATAAACCACATGTCCAATAGGACACGACACCTTACTCCCCTCAGGGTCGCTCCTCTGGTTTACTCCACACCCTCCCAATCACCTTCCTGCTGTCTGATTTGTCCCTTTTTTATTTAGTTCAACTGGATTTGATTGATGAATTGTAGGAGAACTTGACAGGAAATCTGTAATGCATGTCTTACATGTAATATGACTCATAAGATATAAAAAAACATTTAAGTCTATGTTGTCCTTGAGCTGTAGAAATGTTGACAGTTCGTTTTTTTCTTGATTTATATTTTGTTTCAGTCCACTTTTGTTTATTTAGCTTTTCAGAACTTATTGAATAATATGTCTTGTGGGATCATAACAGTGAGCTCTTCTCCTCATGTTTGCAGGCGTATACCATTCAAGGACAGTATGCCATCCCACATCCAGATGTGAGTGCCCCACGAGGCAGTCAACCTTGCACCCTCTATAACTCTGTCTCGCTGCATCCAGATTTTCTTACTTTCTTTCCACCCTTATTAATATTAATTGTTAATATTAATACAGCTTTTATTCTGATATGTTATTTCCTATGTTTCTAACTTTTCTTATTCTTGCCTCTGTGCCCTCTGATTGGCATTAAACCTCATGGGGCTTGGCCTGAAGAAGTTATCAGATTAGTCTTGAAGTTCTTGATGGACTTCAGATCGGCTCCTGACCTCCACTCCATTTCTTTTTACAATTTAATTTTAATTAAACTAACTAACTTTAATTAAACTTTCCATTTGTTGGCATGTTCAAACAAGCTCAAGACGAAGAAGAGGAAAAATGCTGTTTTTGCAAGTAGAAAGGAAACTGTATGGAATCCCAAAATGAGGAATTTTCATTGATTAAAACGGCTGCTTTGATGGTAAAGATGACTTTGAATACAAGAAGGTTTTGAAACTCTCAGTGTTCAACTCACCTCCAATTTGAGTTATTTATCTTAAAGATAATCCCCTGTGGGCAAGCACTTGGTGAGAGTGGGAGTAAAAAGCTCCCTTTTAAAAGGAAGAAACCTCCAGCAGATTCAGGTTCAAGGAGCAGCAGCCATCTGTCATGACCAGTTGGTGGTAAACATTCAAAATGTAAAGTTACAGCTGTTAGAAAATGTAAACTCATGAGCATGATTGATTTACTGACAGTCAGTGAGCGTGAACAAAATCATTGACTGACATATGAAAAGGTGATATTAGGCATTAGGGGAAGGTGACATCAGGGGATTACATTGGCAAACATCCACCCATCCATCCACTATCCTCGACTATCTAAAGTTGGATCACAGTTACCTATGCAGCCTATTCCAGATATCCATTTACTGGCAACGCATTACAGGAGGTACCCCAACTCAGCTGGTTGGTTGTTCGCTTGTGGACATTCAAGGCTTCAGTTGCCTAGATAATCCTCTAATGTTGTTACCACCAGGTCATATCTCAAAGGTATTTTTCTCTCTCATTGCTTGTAGCTTTAATCACTCACTTGGAAGTTGAGAAAAGCTTATCCCAGGTCCTGTCCACTTCGCGTCACCAGTAGTGTCGTTGGCAGGTGCTTGAAGTCGTGGAATGTCATTCAAATTCTGCAGTTTCTGCTCAGCAAGTTGCTGCAAATCACTTTCAGTTTGTATGGCTTTAAGTGATAGTCACTAGTTTCATAATTTCATACCCTCTTTTGCTCTCCACACAGACTGTTTATCTGCATTCAAACAACACCTGCTTTTAAAAAAAAGGCAAATAAAAATCAGACAAGAAGCACATTACATATGGCAACCAGAATGCTTCTGCTACTAAAACTCTCATCTGTGGTCACCAGATTCTGAATGTGAACCTGTGCAGAGTGATTGATTGATTGCAGAGTTCTATTCTAGAAATGCAGAGTTTAGTTCAAGAGTTTAGTTTAACAACTGCAAAGGTCTATTTCAGAACTGCAGCAATTATTTTAGCAAGTGCAGGATTCCAGACCAGAACAGCACAGTGACATTTTATTCCCTAAACTGCAGTTTCAACATAGACTGTTCCATGTGTAGCAACAGTAACAATGAGGGGCGGGGCTTATGAAATCCTCCCAAATGCTCCAATCTCAGGCCAAGTCCTTCATGAGGTTCTCCTCTTCTTCTTCTGTCTTTCTTTCATGGTCTCTCTCTTTTCTTTCTGTCTTTGTCCTTCACCTGTCAGTGTTGTTACTTCTCCTCAGATCCTTACTTTACTCTTGTAGCATTTCGGACTGACCTTTGTGCGTGCGTGTATGTGTCTGGTGAGCGTGTGCGTGTCAGAGTGCGTTTTTAACGATGACCTCATAGCTCTGCTGTCCTCCTCCTCCCCCCCTCAGCAGTTGAGCAAGCTCCACCAGTTGGCTATGCAGCAAACCCCCTTTACCCCCCTCGGACAGACCACCCCTGCCTTCCCCGGTACGTACCCACCTACACAATGACCCTCTTCACCAAAGATCCTTCTCTCGTTTTTACCTGTAGAGACGAACACATTCTCTTCCTCCTTTTTTTCTCTTTCTCTTCTTTTCCTGTCTCTGTCCTTTCTTTCTTCTTCTCGTTGTTCTCCTCCTAATGGTCTCTGTGGTTCACTGCCATTGACATGGCCTGCTGGTGGTCTGCTCTTGTTGATGTTGAGGCTTCTTTTGTTTTTTGTTTTTCCCTTAGTTTCCTTATTGTATAGAATTGCAGTTGTCTTGGATTTTTTTTCTTCAAAAGTTAGAACTCAAATTTGTGTATTGCATAGGCTCTGCATAGGGCTGAGCCACATTTCCAGTGACATGCGTTTGCTGCTGGTTTATAGATAACATAGTATTTTATAGTAGATAATCGCAGTTTGCCTCCTTAACGTGCCAAACTGTACTTTATGTCCTTTCCCTTTCCTCCACTCTTTCTGTCTGCTTCCTGTGTTCAGCAGCAGGTCTGGATGCCAGTAACCAGGCCAGTACTCATGAACTCACCATTCCCAATGATGTGAGTACATTTGTCATGATATGCAGACACCCAACAATGCGCTTTCACTCACCATTCGTCACTTTCATTTTTTCCTGACGAAAAGGTTTAACGAAACTTGCAAACAGCAGTGTTTTAAAATGAGACATTTTTCACGAAATCTGACAGAGAATCAGGTTATCCATTATCAGACTTCAGGCAAGTCAATATTGTGAATGCTGTTGCAGAAATACTGTTGTCTTCTTCAGTCACACTTATTCAGCAGTTTGGGTAATTTGGGCCCACTTTCTGCTGTTTTGTCACTCCCTAAAGCTATAATCGGGGTGAATGCTCAAAACTGCTACAAAGGAATAAATAAAACAACAGAAAGTCTGCATTAAACTGGTAAAACTGGTTGTCAAAGCACAAACTCCCAGACATGCTCTGTTTTATCATCTTTTCACATGGCTTCCTGCTGAAGTTTCCAGCTATGCAATGTGACAGCAATTCAACTGCAACAATTATAGGCAAAGTGCAGCCAAAGGCAGTTAGCTTTGCAAAGTGAATGTCCTTAATGGAAAAGACTTGTTGGACCTAAATAAGGAGCATCTAAGTTATAGTTGAAAAGCTGTCAAAGACTGGCCAGTACTCACACGCTCCACTGAGAATCAATCAAATGTCTCTTTTATGTCCCATCCTCTTTTCTTCCCAGCTAATAGGCTGCATAATCGGACGCCAGGGAACCAAAATCAACGAGATCCGTCAGATGTCTGGGGCGCAGATCAAAATAGCTAACGCCATGGAAGGGTCATCGGAACGCCAGATTACCATCACAGGGACTCCCGCCAACATCAGCCTGGCCCAGTATCTCATCAATGCAAGGTCAGAGATCAGTGACGTTTGACTGCAAAAATAGTCCAAACAAAGAGAAAAATGTGAAAAACTTCCTCCTTGTGAACATGGATGATATCTTTTGAATTAGTGCCTAATTAGCTGCTCTCACTTTGTCAAGATTTTGCAAAAGCACTTTTTTCTTCTCTTAATGAGCTCTCAGTGAGTGTTATTTGTTTATTTTATTCTTTGTTTTTAATTGCCTTTCCATCAATGTTTTGCTTTGTAACATCACATGTTTTATCACCATAACTGTTTAAAATTACATCATAAATAAATAGTAATGTGCAAGAGTTTTGAGCCATCCCCCATTTCTTTATATTTTAAATTGTATATTTAGACGCTTTGTTTCTAGCAGCCTATCACAAAGACAAATATTTCTATAACTCAATCTATGAAAAATACCAAAGATAAATATAAAATGGCATTTTAAAACATAAAAATGCATAAAATAGTACTTTTGAGTTACCGAACTTCAAATACATCTGTAAAAATTTAAAAAACTATCTACAGCAGATGAACAATATCTGAAAATCATGTCCTTAAGAAACTGTAAAAAATCCAGTAAACACCAGATACAGGACCTGAGCGATACATTTGGACCTTTAGAAATGGTCTAAGTTGAAGGGTGGCAGTCAATAAGCCATTTTTAAGGAAAGGAAACGGGGAAATGGGGTGAGGTATGCTGAATTACACAAGAACTGGACTGGAAATCATTTCCAATCATTCTCCTTTAGGTTCAGAGACGTGGCGGCTATGTGGACTGACCCATCTTCCATGACCACATCCTGAGATCCCTGACTGGCTCCTCCGTTTGGCCCTTTCCAATGACTGACTACTGCAGACAACCCTGATGAAGCCCTTCGGACTCTGGCTCTGGCTCTCCGAAAACCCTGACCACCTCCCCACCCTGGTTCAAAGCACCTCAGGGAGGATTGGGTGCTCACTTTTGTTTCAGAGAGCCACATTAAATTAACAAAAAAAGAAAAAAAGAAAATGGATAACAAAAAAGAAATTCTCTGTTGCTTAGATTTTTTAGAGAACTGTTGAAGCATGTTGAATGTTTATTAGGAACAACTTGTGTTACTCTTTCTTCTTTTTCTCTCTATCTCTTGCTTTTGCTTTCTCTCTGTCAGTGCTGCGTCATAGAACATCATTTAAAAGTAAAAAAAAGTACTAGTAAAAGACTGAACGTTTTTTGTAGGACGTAGTTATTTGCATATAACAGCTGCTCAGTGATGCTATCGGTAGAGTGCGTGGTGGGATGTAGCCAAATTATCAAATTTTGATAATGTATTTCTGAAAAGACAAAAAAATTGGACTGTTCTGCTTTTGTCCTAATTTGCATCTGTGTCGAATCTCTACCCATGACTCTTTGCTGCATCACATGACCCTTTCAAGCCAATGGTATCACTCCTAGAGCCTCCCTTCTCATGTTAATTTCCTAGGTTTGCATTATATTGCATGTTTTCAGTGTTGTATTGTCGCGTATTTCAGTAAGCCTGTTCCGTGTACTTCAGATGTTATTATTATATCTTTGTTTTCCTGTTCTTTTCCGCAAACTGTTTTCAGCATTTTTGGCCACTCACGTCTAGTTCTACTCCCTGTCCAGACAAAAAACCTTCCGACACAGCCTCCTTCTATCAACACCGAATATTAGTATATAGATGCATGAATGGGAATTAGTGAATAACCAGTGGCTAAAACACTGACTGAAATTTAAAATGATTGTTTACTAACTTATTATTCTACTGTATTTGTTTTTGTATGAGGACTCTTGTGACTTAGCACATTAGTCGACTACGCGGCGCTCATGCAATAGACTACTCAACACTTTACTCTGGACTGTCTCTGATGTAGGGAGGATTAGTTGGACTTAAAAGCCAAGCGTTGCGTCCAAACCTTTCGGCTTCTTTCCCTTGTTTTGGAAAAAACTTGCTAGGCTGAGAGAGGTTTCTAAAAAATTAAAACTAAGAAATTGGAGGGAAAGAAGCCGAATTTTAATGGCACAGAGGCCTAGACGTTTGGACGAAGCCAGATGGTATTTTTTGGGCCAAGGAATGTTCAGGGGTTCATTGGGGGGAACCCGTGGGGCCTGGGCGGACGTGACCACTCAGTCTCTTTTTCACGATTGTTCATCTCGTCATGTTCTTTTCATTGTCATGCGGTTGATTTTAACGCTTTAGGTTTGAATGTCATTTTATTGTCGCGACTGTGTCAGCAACATAATTGTTTTTATTTTAAAAGTAAAAAGAGGACAGGTTGGATGACAATTCCTGCTTTGCTGTTTTCTAGTAAAGCCAGCATGTATTTATTTATGGTGTGTTGATGCACTTATGAATTTTCATTCATTGATCATGAACATTAAGCTAAGTTAGTTTTGTTGTATTGTACTTAATATGAGAGGGAGGTGTGGGTGATATTTGGTATGATTCAGTAATTCAACTTCTCCCACCATCTTCTGCTGAAGATGCGCTAAAGATAATAGACAGCTTTGGGTCATCTTTACTTCTGAGTTTCAGCTAAGCTCTTTTCAGCGTTGACGCTAACAAACAGCTGTTGAATGTTATTGTCGACTCACATTATCTGCCATCCAACACAGAAACTTTCTGCATTTACAGAACGTTTGTTTTATTGCCAGTAGCCTACACTGAGCTTAAAGGAGAAGTTTAACAGTTTGGGGGAAAGCTTTTAGGGAAATATGCTTATTTCTGCCTTTTTACATTGAACAATTGATGTTTGCATGCTAAACACTGACTAGCACAAGTCTATGAAGCTTATAAGCACATAAAGACTTTTAAATTGTATGCAGCACCTTATTTATACTATTAGAAATGGTCAAATCTTTTTGCTAAGCTAAGCTAACTGGCTCCAAGCTAAAGTTTCAGATCCCCTTTTCTTTTTTTATGTACCAGTGGTTCCTGTAGTTCATCCCACTAGAAACCATAGACAATCTAGTTGTCTCTGTTTTTCATGCTAGGTTAAGTAAGCTTACTGCTAACTTAGCCTAGCTATAAGTACACAAATAAGCATATTTACCAGAAGTGTCTATTCCTATGACTTTTAGGTGTGTTGATGACATAAATGGACCAAATGCTGTATCAATATACTGAAAGAGGCATAGTCAGTGATAATTCTGCAATAATTCTTACATTTTGATGTGAACTCAAGTAGTAGTGATAGAAATGACATTTGGGATTGGTGTTTCTTTTTGTTTTCACTTGTCATAGCTTGTATTCTAATGGGAATGTTTGTCAAATTACAAGAAATTTTGTTTTTTGGCAAACTTGTTTTTTTTTGTTTGTTTTTTAGAACTGTTAGCTAATACCTGTTAAGAGGATATTCTTTCTAAAATTGCCCACAACACTGTAATGGTGAAAAAATATCCTCAAGGGTATTGTGGCTCTTATAAAACAGTTATCAGTGCATGCTGAGATGTTTGCTTAAAACGTGAATAATCAATGACTAGACAGCCGAGTGTGCATTTTACAAATTTAATCTTGTTGTGTTTTATGAATTTGATTAATAAGCAGGAATATTGACTTGTAAGTGATGGCAGTGTGACTTCAATAACATCAATTTTCATGTGTTACTCAGTGTTTGAAAACTGTATTTACATTTGTGTATATGCCTGAGTATACTGCGACTTTGAAACAAACTGCAACTAATGCAATAATAGGGTACAATGTGCAATTATTTATTCAGTTTATTATTAGCATAGATACAGAAGAGCGGTGTAGCTTGTTTAAAAAAATGTTTTTTTGAGTTTTATCCACTTTTCGTTTGGTGGCAACAGCGGGGGAAAAAGAATGGCTAGACATGTTTTTTTGGGGGTTTGTTTGTTCGTTTTTCAGCTTTTCTTTGTGTGTATTGCAGTTTGGGGGGGAACAAAATGATAGAACTTTGTAACTATTTTCAATTGATTTATTTGCTATGTGCAGATCTATATTAGTTGTGAGTAATTACATAGGTTTTAATTTTACAGTGTTGGTAAGTATACAAACAAATAAAGTTTCATTTTTTTCTTTCTGTGACTTGCCTTTTGACGTCTTTCTCAATTATTTTTTTCTACAACAGCTGATAAAAATCAGTTCTTGAATGAAGGTAATTATTGTGCCACAATGAAATTACGATAATTAGATGATGAGATCTTAATGGGAAGCTCATCTGTCCTTTTTTGAAGGTTAGGTTTTGCATAAATCAGATTAAAGAAAGTCACCTAATTATTACCAAAGCTGCAGCATGCTTATTGTTTAGAGAAATGGTTCTAAAGTAAGGTTAGAGGGACCCTGTGAGGTCTTCTTACAGTTCTGCAGCCAAATGAGGGATAACTGTAATTTCTTAATAACCATTGACTATAATTTCATTTTAATTCATCCTAATTAAAGAATGAATTTAAATATTATCTTAATCACAGTCTCCTTTTGTTCCACCTACAAAGACGGTAAGATAAAATCATAACTCAACGGGATGAGAGATCTCTTGGGATAAATTACGATCAACGAGGGGTGTATTAAAAACCTGTGTGGATGTATGAAGTTTAATGTATGCTTGGCTGGACTGCAATGAGCTCTCTCTAAAACAACAACAACAAACAAAACAAACGAACCTGTGTTTAAAGTTTAATGCCAGTAAAGCTTCTACAGTGAGTTCATGTTTTCACTCTTTGCCCATTGAAAGCTTACTTGCAGTAACCATTGAAGCTCTTTCCTAAACTAAGTTTTTATCATATTTCAGTCCTGCTAATAGAACAAAATGACTGGATGTGCATTACAAGTTGGGACAGTGGTTTCAGCCTATGTAGCTACCCTTGGGAAAAATTTCAATTTCAATTTTATTTCTATAGCACATTTAAGAGTCACAGGTACAACAAAGTGCTTCACAGACGAGCCATATTTGCAGATTTACAACAAAAGAAAACAGTCAACAACAAAGAAATACAGTTATAGGATGGTAATATTATAATAAGCACGAACCGGGAGGAAATTATACTAAGTAGTTTGAAAGGCGAGCTTAAACAAATGGGTTTTTAACCGTGATTTGAAAGATTGAATAGTTTCCGACGCACGGACATCAACTGGCAAGCTGTTCCAAAGTTTTGGTGCAGCAAAAGCTTTCGTCTTTAGTCGAGACATTGGTTGCATTAGGAGCCCCTGATTAGAGGATCTGAGTGCCCTTGAGGGGATATATAATTAAGAAGGTCAATCAGATAACTAGGTGCCAGGTTATTTAAAATTTTAAAAGTGTATAAAAGGATTTTAAAAACAATACGGTATTTGACAGGAAGCCAATGGAGGTTAGCTAGAATAGGAGTGATATGATCCTGTCTTCTAGTGCCGCTTAAAAGGCGTGCAGCGGCATTCTGGACTAATTGTAAAATCAGTAAACTGTTCTCATGGTTGCTGAAATATGACTTTATTGACATAGACCTAGGTGTCAAAACCATGATTAATTATTAGAGATTACTGAAGGTACAGGGGAGGTCATCAAATGTCTTTAAGAGTTCATGTATAGGCAAAAACAAAGAAGTATGATGACGTATAAAGTTAATGTGGAAGATCTGGTGCAAGTCCAGTACCTTAGTTACCAGTGTTGGTCAAGTTACTTGAAAAAAGTAATCAGTAACTAATTACTGATTACTTCCCCAAAAAAAGTAATCCCGTTACTTTACTGATTACTCATTTTCAAAAGTAATTAATTACTTAGTTACTTAGTTACTTTTTAAAAACACGATTTACAACCTGAAGAGGTGATAAAGCGATAGAGCTTTCAGCCCAATTCTACCTTTTCTGCATAATCCATCATACAAAATGTAATCAAATGGAAAAGTCTCTTTTCTTTACTTGTTTTATCAGTTTTAATCTTTTAACTTTATGCATCAAGCAAAAATGTAATTATATGCAACATTCTCTGAGTTGAATAAATTAGTTTAACATTTAAACCTATTTTCTGCCCATTCCAGCACATAAAATAAAATATTTTTTGTGTTTACACTCAGTCTTTCAAATAGATGCAAGTAAAACACAGCAGAAAATAAATAAAGTCAAAGACTCAGCGGTCCTTTTGCTCTATTTTCATCTGTAAAGCAGGAGTAGAGTAGGCGGAGGTTTATGCTGGTGCAGGTGTGCTGCGGTCAGTTGAAGAATCCACGAGTTTCTCTGTGAGTTTCCCATTACGTCGTTGCGCACTCGGTGCTTACTTGGAAGTTTAGGGGTTTTTTCGCTGTAAAAAGAAGTTTTCTTCCCACGCACAATGGACACTAATGTTTTTGTCACTTTTTATGGAATCAAACTCAAAGTAAGGTCAGTACTTCCACGCTTTAAACGCTGCACGCTCATACTCTCTCCCACAATCGATATATGATCCATTGTTGATCTGCACACAGTGTCACTAACGGCGCACTCGCTTATGTCACTGTCGTGAGACATTCTCCCAAAAAAATCACGGTTTTAGTAACGCAGTAATGCAGCGTTCCTACGGGAAAGTAACGGTAATCTAATTACCCTTTTTGCAATAGTAATCCCTTATTTTACTTGTTACTTGAAAAAAGTAATCAGATTACAGTAACGCGTTACAAGTAACGCGTTACTGCCCATCTCTGTTAGTTACACACTTCATAACATTAACCAGATTCCCATTAAAATTTTATGCAAATTTTAACAATGTTTTCTGGTTATCTGCTCAACAAAATGCTAATATAGACTCACTGGCCACTTAATAGGTGTTCAACAGCTTAAAAAAGGCAAATATGTAATCAGCCAATCACATAGCAGTAACTCAGTGCATTTAGTCACGTAGACACAGTCAAGATGAACTAACTGCTGATCTTCTGGGATTTTCGCACACTACCATCTCTAGAGTTTACAGAGAATGATCTGAAAAAAGTGAGCAGTGAGCAACAGTTCTCTGTGTGAAAATACCATGTTGATGTCAGAGGTCAGAGCAGACTGGCCAGACTGCTTCAAGCTGGTAAGGTGGTAAATAAACACTTGTTACAACCCAGGTATGCAGAAGAACATCTCTGAAGACAGGACACATCAAGGCTTTTAAAGCCATCGCTTTTTTCCCTGGCAACTGGATGATTTCTACATCAGTGCTTTCTGTAATTTCACATTTCATGCTGCAGCAGACATATCTCTTTCTGAAATGTTGAAATGAGGCTCATGCATCTCCTATGAAGCCTTTGTTTTCCTCTGCAAAGTGTTTCCCTCCACCCCTAGTAAGAAAACGGGTCCGATACCACTCCTTTGTCAGGAATCTTTGCTGTGTACGCCTTTAAATTTAATCAGCAGACACACAGAGTAATGTCCAGAACACTCCTAAAATACTCTTTAACACCAACAATTACATGTTAGATGGAAATCTTCTCTCATCTGCAGCTTCACTGCTAAAGGGGTACCCAGTGCACTAAAAAGTGATGGATCTGGCTAAACATACATCTGAATTTCTACGTGGCTTCAACTAAAGTCGTGTACTTCACATTTGTTCTCATAGTTTACTGACAGTCAATTCATTTCCTTTTTTTCTAAGGGTATTGGCATACCTGCATCTGATCAGTACCTCTTTTAATGTACAGCTTCTCCTCTTTCATTAATATATCATATGTATGGACAGCATTTGTTCTAGACAGCAGCAGATTGAGATCCAAAGATTCCTTCCTCACTGCAGTGAAAGACTCCCTTCAATGTAGCATCTTGATATGAGCTAGCTGTCTTTGAACCTGCAAATTGCTTTTTCAGAGTGCAGGCTGAACATCCAAACCTGCAGAAAGTTCACAGGCAACTCCCAAACAACTGAGTTTTTCACCCCATTGGAGTAAATCATACAGCGATCTCCACTGAAACTAAATTATGTAGGAAGCTTGTTTGCAGGAAGCACATAAAATCAGGATGTCAGTTTTAATTTCTTGTATGACTCTTCTATAAAACGTTGTTCCAAGATTTAAGGCTGAAGAGATCTGAAATGACAGAAAATTGGTCCTATTTTATGTTGCATGGGAGAGTGGGAACACTAAAGGCTTAAAACTAAGTACAGGACAATGCTGGAAAATATAAGTTTAATGCTTTTGATGCCACAGCTTTAGAGAAAAATATAATAGCTCCTGGGCTCTCGGCTGGACTAAGGCCCAATTGAGATTTTTTGGGTGATCGCCAAGAAGCTGCCTGAGAAATTTAGAAGTGGGCAGGCTATAATCACAGGCAGGGATCCAGTGGAGAGCTTTGCAGTGTGTTGCAGATTTTATTGTGCTGCTGACAGTGTGCCTGACTTAGGACCTCCTGACACACGACAATCACACTGTACCATCAGGAAAGTCTTCAGGGAGACCTAAGCACTTCTGAGAGAAAGGATAGTGATTTATATATGTCAGCGCCGAAGCGATGAAACAAAAGTGAAGCAAAAAGAAGTGAAGAAGTTGCCTACAAAGCAGTTGGAAGGTGACACTTTTTAAAATATCGTAATTGTTCCTCATCTTTTTTATTTTATTTTCAGTCCTCCTCAACTTAGAAACACAGAGGTTTCCTAGCTGTTTTACCTGAAAATGGTATAGAGGACAGTACATCCACCAGGTTTAGCTTTATAACATGGTCGCAAAATACCAGTGCCACACGGCCATGCATTAGTTTTGAATAGCTTCCTTTTTTGTCTCTTTGCGCTAAACATGCAGAAGTACGCTGCAGGCTGCACTTCCCTTCTATATATTCATTTCATATATTATATAGAAGACCAGATTTAATGCACAGGTGAGAGCTGGACCCAGTTATTTGGACTTGATCATGTTTCTCGAGTCTAATCACAGAATCTAATTAAGTGTACAAAATTACATGTAACACCAGCACACTAAATGTCTTTTGAGCATCCACTGGCAATTTTTTGTTTCTACAGTTCACAGGTTTCTTCTGAGTGTGCCACATGCAGTGTACAAACAGTTTAACAGCAGATGAACTCAGTGAATGTGTGCATGTGTGAGATTGTTCCTGTTCAATTCGTGGTTGTGCAGACCAGGAAGATTGCAGGCTGCAATTTTCTCCAGAAC